CATACCACACACACACACACACACACACACACACACACACACACACACACACAAACAAACACAAACACACACACAAACAAACAAACACACACACACACACACACATTACATACTCTTTTCATTCACATACATAAACATAACGCGTGTACCTAACGCACGTTCATATTATAAATACTAAGACATGTGTGTGCAGTGCATTAACTTTTCAAAACAATTGCAGTTTAGCACTTATTATCTATTATACTGGAGTAGAAGTAACTCCAGTAGTAGCCTCCGATAAGGTTATCTTTTTAGTAGTGTCCGTAACACTGAAAGGAAGTAGCAGAAGTAACAATATGGTAGTATAGTATTCGCCGTAGCATTAGTATCATTAATTTGGGTGGATTTATTTTTTTTTCATTATTATTATAGCTTTTTTTTATTTGCTATTAATATTATTATTAGTAGTAGTAGTAGTAGAAGTAGAAATAGTTTTAGTAGTAGCAAACACAATAGTAGTAGTAACAGTAGTACTACTACTAGTAGTAGTAGTAGTAGTAGCGGTGGTAGTAGCAGCCACAGTAGCCGTAGTAGTATCAGTAGTAGTGATGGTCTAATTTAATTTTTCGTGGATGAAGGAGTGATGTGATTTCTCGAGAAATGCTGGCTCTTCACTGGAAAACTTTGACGAAGTTAGTAACGAAGGCGAGGGTTCTAACAAAAATAATTTGGAAAAATATGATGATGTTTAAAGTGATTGAAAAAAATAATCATAGTGTTGGTGAGAATTTCGGTGAAAATAATTATATTGATTACGATAGGTAGGGTAGTACTTGAATTTTTTTTGTTAGCTTGGCGCGCAGCTTACCTAATTATTTTAATGTTAGGATGATTAAAATCGGCTAGAAATAATTTGACGATGACAGTGATAGAAATTGAAATCAGTAGAAATAAAATTTTAGTATGATGTTAGTTATAGTGAAGGTGGTGAGGAAAAATAATTAAAACGCGATGAAGATTTTGACTAAGATGGTGGTGATGTTGATTAAAACATAGTGACACAGATGATTAAGTGGTGATATAATGATTTTGATGTTATGGTGACGTGATAAGGATGTTGATTAAAATGATGATAACGACGATGATAAAGATGACAATGACAATTATTATTGACGTGATAATGATGATGTGATGATGGTGACGTCATGTGATGTCATGATACGTCACCTAGCCTTTCGGCGAAAATTTATCTAACATCATGTTTTTGACGATATCTATGAGATTACTACTCTTATCTGGAATGACAACATTTTACTAATAAAAAAAAGTATTTAATTTCCCTTCTAAGAAAATTATTTTTATAAATATATAATTATTTCAATTCAAACAGTTTTTAGAAAATGACACAACAAAGAGTCTGCAAAGTTTTAACCTAATCATTGAAACGGCAAGAGAAATTATTTTTACGTACATTGAAAAGTTCGGTACAAAATCATTGTTAATATCTACTGCTGCCTTCCACTGCTTGATTGACAGCACATTCATAAATCGAAACAATCTTAAAAGGATTGCATAAACATTAATCTTCCATTCATCCATCAGCATGCCGTGTTTATTCTGCAAAAGAACTGCTACCAACTTCATTCATTACTGATTCAGTTCATATTTCCATTTCTACTAAATTATTAAGTTCCATAGACAGTAACAATTACATTTTTTAATATAACCGATTATCTGAATTTGATAAACTTTGTATGTAAAATTTGTCCAAGATAAAAATTTTGAACGCAAACTAATATGAGAAGTAATTATTAGTAAAGTAAGCTTCGAGTAAACTAGCTTCACATCTCTACGCTCACGTTTGAACTCATTAGCTTAAACACACGCGCGTGCACACAACCGCAAGCGCAGAATATTTTTTTAGAAGAATTTTTGAAGTAACTGCAGAAAATTTCTCATTATTTCGCCAGCACAACGAGTTATGAAACTGCCAGGTTCTTATAAGTTATTAAGTAAGGGATATATTAATAACGAAAAAAAACATCAAAGTATCGGATTGCTGAGTTTTCAATTATGGCACTGAGCATACATACCTGCCTCTCAACTTCCAACTTGAAATTTGCCAAGAAGAAAATATTCTTCTTTATTCGCATATATATTAGGTTGATCATTATAACAGAATGATTAATCTTTATTTACATTAAGAGGTTGTTTTATCACCATCTACATTGAAATTTTTTTTTATCACATATCACTCGATAATGTTGAGTGGCGTGTGCTTGCGATAATTCCTATTATGATGATAAAAATAACGCATCTTCACATCTTTCTTTTCAAATTATCCAACCTTTAATTAATAGATATATACAAGATACACAAACACACATAGTTGCACCACCTATTTGTTTTTATGCATTTGTGTGTACGTTTAAATGGACGTTTGTTTGAGTGTGCGTGTGTGTTTTGTATGTGTCTGTGTGTGTTTTTGGGCTCCTGTTTATCTCTGTGTGTGCGTGTTTAAACGCGCGTGTGCATGCATGTGCGAATGATCGAATGTATGTGTAAGTGAATGTGTAAGTGAATGTATTTATCCACATGGAAAAGAATGTAGTAGATGAATTAAGCGTTCGCCCAATGGTTTTCTAATTGATTGTTATTGAAGCAAAGACATAAATTGGTTAAGTGGCGCTAGTTTATGGAATTCGCACTTAAACATGGCGCTTATAATCGACACGACAACATCTCCTTCGCAGCCTTTATTATTTGTTAGGTTTAAGATGCTATTTTTAATTACCAATTCATTATTTGTTATCACTTTTTAATTAATTGTTCTTCTGACTTATTTGAAAAAAAAAACTAAAAAGCTCTGCCGTTTTTTTGGAATTTTTTCGCTCATATTCTTAAAATGGTCGCCGAACAGGCACGCACATGCATACATGGATTATTCGAACACAGATTCAACTATACTAATCGCTCACATTTGTAACTTTTAGCTAATTATTATTTATTTTATATTTTATTAAATTATTCGTTATTAAATTAGTTTTTCTCTCTTTTTGCTATTGCGATTATTTTACAAAATGTTTCCTCTTTAATAGAACGGCAATCAATGGAAGTTTAGTTGATCGTTAATCAGTCATCAGGTAGGTAGGTAGGCGATATCTGGAGTTATTCATTGGCAGTTAGTTGCATCTGCAGTAGCAGGCAGTTACTTACTTCCATGTTTATCGATCCTTGAGGCAAATTTAAAGATGTGCTACTGCTGCTTGTTAAGATTACTTTTAATTGGAGAGATTAAGTCTGCGTCTGGTTCGTTAACGTTGGCATATTAAAAGGTGATTAGAATTTTGGCATTGAGATTCATCGGTTTAGGAAATTCTTTAAAAAAAAATTTAAACTATATTTTATACAGAAGAAAATTATTACGTTGATGTGAATTCTTTCTCTAAATAGCTTAGGGTGTGTTATCGTTTTTATATTTGCTGGAAAATTTGTCTGTACCGTCTTTTCAATCCACATTCTAAGAACTTAGAAAATTAATTTGGTTTAACTTCATTCCTCCAAAGTATCAAATTTTTTTTGATTTTGTTTTGATTTTATCTTTTTTTCACCAATTTGTGATAGCACAAGAACAAAATAATATTTACGTATTTTTAGAGGTGTTTTATAATAATTTTATTAAACAGTTCTCTACATACACACAGTCATTGTGAATAAGTTTCGGGAGTTCAGTGAGTTTAAGTTAATAAGTTGTGGTTTAAACATAGAATTTGCTCCACACTCCGTTTTTTAGATATCTCCATACAAATTTATATGCATGACAAAAACAATTTCATGTTTGACCAACATCAAAAAATAAAATTTTGTTTTAAGCAGTTTTATAACGGAGAACATTTACAAGATCGCGTTCAATTGGATACTTGTGAACTGTTTCTGAGATGTTTGATGGCTCTAAAAGTTGTTTTAATGTAAGTGTGCATGGTTTGTGTGTGTTGGTACGTGTGCAAATATGTGTGTGTGTTGTTATGTGTGCAAATGTGTGTGTGTTGTGTGTATGTGTGTGTGTGTGCGTTTAGTTAGGAGTATAAATGTTTAAACGTTTATATCTCTTGAGCTAGTTTAAAAGAACAATGAACTTTCTGCAACGTTCTCGAGATTTTACTTAACTTGATTTTTCATATTTTCATTATTTCACGTTTGATAAATAACATAACAGACATTTTCTGATTCAGCCATAAGTAAAATTTGTAAATAATTATGTAAAAAAATTTCAGCCATTACATTTCTCACTTTGTTTTTTAAAAACTGATAACAAGAAGAAATAAAAAAAGAATTTTGTTAACACGGAAAGATCCACTCTTTTAAGTTTATTCATCGTACGTATACATACAGTTTTGGAGAATATCATTATGGCATGCCTTGCTCTGGACATTGTTGATGTTTTGTTTAAATGTTTAGATGGATCCGTCGTAAGTAACACTGCCATGTGCGGTAAAATAAAAACTCGAGAAAGCGAGAGGGTAATTAAAAGGTCGCTAGGGTCGACAATAATAATTACTATATATTCTCGCGGAAAATAATAAAAACAACAACAATTATAATAATAATAATTATTATTATTATTATAGTAATAGTAATAATATTAATTTTAGTAGCGGTGTGTTTAGACGGTGTTAACGTTTTGCTGTTCAGTTTGAAGTAAACATTTTGTTGATGTTATTTTTCGTCTGTGTTGTTGTAGTTTAGTTGTTTGAAATTGTCTTCTACGTGTTGAAGGATGAAATACAATTTCGGATGCTGTTCACAAATTTATGTTTGCGTCTATACATGGCATATAAATGTGTTTGTTTGTGTGTTTGTTGGTTCGTGTGTGCTTATTTGTGTGTGTGCGATGAATATGTTTGCTTTACATATAACATTCTTTACGTGTATTTGTTTGTTTTATATTACTTATTATATAAAGCACATAAATATTCATATATCATTCATCGACTGTGATTGTGTTAGTGTCTGATTTGGAGATGTGTGTTTTAACAAAAGAATACTGGCATATAAGATTGACATAATGTGTTTATTGTTTATTCGCGTTAATTAATACTGGGTGGTTTGTTGTGTTAAGATCTGAGCACAACAAACTTTGATAAAGGTATGTTTTAAGACTTTTGTATTAGTGTTAACATGTAAAACATATATATTTCACTGCTTTTACACACACTCCTTCTCTCTCTCTCTCTCTCTCTCTCTCCTCTCTCCTCTTTTTCTTTTTCTCTCTTTCTTACACTAACACACACACAATCAAACATACTTGCCAATGGAAACATTTTCTAACGCTCACATACATCAAATACCACACAGTTCAGAGCTGAATTGTGTCATAACTTAAAAACATAATATAACATCACGTCTAATACACAAATTAAATTTTTGATAACACTTACAAATACACACACACACAACACACAAACACAACACACAAACACACACACACAAACACACATACACACACACTAGCACACACCATCATTTAAGCACATCATCACATAAATTAAATCTACTTCTATAGAATGAATTGATAAATGCACACGTACACACACATACACACACACATGTATATATATAGAGAGAGAGAAAGAGAGAAAAATAGAGAGAAATAGAGAAAGAGAGAATAAAAAGATGCGTTTGATTTATCGGTTCAGTTAATAACGTTCTGTTAAGTTTTCTTTCAGCTTGCCCCAACAGCGTTAAAGTGTAATGGCAAATCATCACGAACATGCTAATGTTAATCTCACCACGATTAGACCTTTCATCTTTTTGTTATATATGAGTGGCAGTCGATTGTTTTTTGTATACGTGTATGTTTTTTCTTCTTTGCCTTCAGATTTTATATGATTTTTTTGGTTTGAACCGGCAGATCCAGGCAAATTTTACGGGTGGGAAGGTAAACATTTTAACTGGAAAAAGGGGCTTTTTTCGTCAAAATTTTTCTGTGAAACACTGCTTTTTATCCATACCGACAAAGGTAGTTTATGTTAGCAAAGGTTGTTACTTTAGTTTGCGATTGTGGTTGTATGGTGCATGTATGTAATTTATTAAAATGTAGTACTCGAGAAAATTTATTTATTTTACCTTGATAGATTTTTAATTATTGATCTAATATTTTTCCTTATGTCTGTGCTTATGTAAAATATGTTCGGAGAGAAGGATTGCGTCTGGTTTTGGTCCGCGAACGCATTGTATGGGTATGCAATAAATATAATTAATGATAGTTTATCTGATAATTCTTATTACCTATAAAATCTTCTATGATACTTTCTAAACATATTTTGCTTCTCTGTATTATGCCAGTCTATTTATAATTTTGGGTTTTGCATGTCGGTGTAGGTACAATAGATTACTCTGTAACTCTGTGCCACGTGTTTCGAACGTGCACTCTTTCATCTGTCTCCTATTCAATGGATTTCTCTTCTTATTGGTACTCTCTCTCTCTAGGTAGTGGATCATTATTGATGATGTTAATAACCTTGTAGAAGAAGATGATGATGATGACGATGGTGATGGTGATGATGACAACGATGGGGATGATGATGACGAAGATGGTGATGATGATGACAACAACGATGGTGATAATGATGATGACGATAATTTGGTTATTGATGACGTTTTTGAGAATGATGATGTTTGGAAAGCGTAAGAAATGAAAATAATTTTAATGGGCACTGGTAAATAGTTTGCCAAATAGTCACAAAAATCAAATTTATGTTTAAACTATTATTTTCCGTTACTTGGATTTGCAATATACACATGTGCAAATTGTATGCACTTGCACATACACGCACAAAACACTTAAAATTTTAAATCTGAAAAATCATCCATTCAATTTGGCTCTATATAATTAATTTGTTTGTTTGCGTTCAACATCCTGACGTCATCCATCGTTTAATTGTTTACTTCGATTTGGTTTAAAAACAACTTTCTGCCTCGTACAGTATTTGTTCGATAATGTTACACTAGCTTTCTTGTGCTGAACAATTCAGCAAATTTCAAATTAATGAGATTAAAATAAATTAAAATAATGCATTATGTGGAATAGTATTTTTAGAGAAAAGTTAGAATACATTCAATAAATTTTGTTTGAAATGTTAGCTCACTACCCTTGTAAAACAAATATAAATTAAAAATTATTGTGTATTTTTGTGTAAATATAAATTTAAAATTATTGTGTAACTTCTTCTTTCTCGTGCCTCATCGTTTAAGGACATTGGCTACCATCGACCTCCACAAACTCGATCTATTACACTTTGTAAGAGTTGAATTTAACTTTAATTATCAATAATTTTCGTTTTCGATAATTTTTTTTATTGAAATTGTAACCTTTCAAAAATGAAATAAAGTCCCATCCTACATCCCAACCGTTGAACACCAATGATAAATCAAGAGAAAACTATTTTGAAAGCCTACTCAGTGATGAGCCACTCATCAACAATTTACGAAAACTCATTGGTATTATGGTGATTGTGATCATAATAATTTTGAGAACTAATGAGCATATGAATCGCTTAAATTTTTAAACACCAGCCAATTTTTTCACTTGTTACAAACAATTATCTTTCAACCTAAGCCTAGTCAATAAATTTTCTTAAATTTTTCTTATCTGTTGATTATGTTTTTTATATTTTGTTAGCCGCATTATTCATTTAGATGCGAAGGAAAATTATTTACACTTAAATTAAATTTCAGGTTTATTTCAGAAAAATCTAATTTCTATCAGAGTCCTTTTTTAATTTTTTTAATTTCAATATATTCACTATATAAAATCATTCACAGCAAGTTTAAGATTGTACTTTAATTTTTATGACATCAGTTTATTATTATAATTGATGATTATTACAATTTATTCATGTTGAATTATTTCTACCAGTGTTCCACAGGGGCTCGGTTCTGGCCCCCTCCAGTTTCTGTTGTACACTGCAGATGTTTTCAATATCATTAACTGATATAGTTTCAAACGTCACGGTTTTGCCGATAATATTCAGATCATTGCTAGTCGTTTTGATGATCTTGTCTGTAGATTCAGAACATGTCTCTCAGAAATTAATGAATGGATGATGGCAAATAGGCTTAAATTCAATCAATTCAAAAGAAGAATGCTCTGAATCAAAAAATCTTTAAGCAAGAATACTCTTCAATGTCTTGTTCATTCCTTTATCCGCTTAAAAATAGACTATTGCAATAGTCTACATTATGGCCTGCTTGGTCTTAATATGTCTAGACTGCAGTTCCAGGTGGCTTTAATTACGATCACGTTAAGCCAATTCTTTTTACTCTTCACTGGCTTCCGGTTTATCAAATAGTTATTTTCAAGATATGTTTAACGGTTTTAAAACGTATTAAAGGAGTTGCCCCTAAATATTCAACTGACAGTGTCATTCCTAGAAAAATGCCACTGCTGAGTCAAACATTGCTTTCTGACAATTCAGATTTACTGTTTGTACCTGACAAAAACTTGGCTCTTGGTCGAAGAAATTTCTCCGTAATGCGTCCTGCTGTCTGGAATGGTTTGCCTGGGGAACTTCGTAATCCTGCGTTGTCTGTTATTCAATTTCGCAGAAGGCTGAAACACCATCTTTTTGTCCAAGCTTCATTGATTAACTTTAATAAAGAGCTACGCAATGTAGTGCAATAATTGTTAGTGTCTCTGAGATCTTTTTAAAGGGCGCTTAAAAACACACCAATAATAATAATAATACCCTAGTATTTTTTAACTTTCCAGGTGCTCCAGGTCAAGAAGGAAAGCGAGGCAAAAAAGGAGATCAGGTAAGAATTGGATTATAATAGGACTGCAAATATTTAAAATAATCGTTATTGTGTTATTATTATAATACAATAACGATTATTCAAAATGTTAAATTAATTTCTTACTATTTGTGCTTCCGCACTAAAATTATAACCTTCAAATTTAATTTTTCAATCGTTGCCATGGTGACACAAGGATCGAACTAGCAAAATAGCGAAATTCATATGATATTTTCACATTTTTACATATTGATAACTTAAATTATTTATTTCATGTCTAGGGGGAGCCAGGGCACAATGGACTCCCGGTAAGTTTGTCGTCTCGTCTCGTTACATTTCGATGCTACTTATTTTGATAATCTGTAACTTGAGTTGTTATCAGGAACTAAATATTTGCAATACTTTTGGCAATTCATAATTTGTGACGTTAAATTTTGCGCTATCTATGTATTTTTGTGGTTTTGAGATAAAATTTTTTTAACAAAACTTATTCCATATTTCAACTGTTTAACTAAAACAAAATAAAAAAATTAAAATGAAATTTGCAACCTCATAAAATCTCATTAAAATTCTTGTATTGCAACACTAAAAATATTCTCAAAATTATCTCACCGTTGTAATTGTGAAATTACAATTACATTCACTCAACATTGCCATGCTTGCTAGAGTACAATCAAATAATGAGGTTGTGAAAAAGATGATATTCGTGAAACAATTTGGATACAAAAAATAAGAAAATATAAAAAAAATTATTCATTAATATCTTAGGGTCGCAAAGGTGATTGTGGCATCTTCTTAAAACAGGAACAGCCATCCAACACAGCCGCCTACAGCCATAAGGTTAGTGTTTTTTTTTTTAATTTTCAGTTCTAACCTATCTTACTTAATTGATTTTATTTCTTATTATTCAACTCTGGCTAAAAAAGGCTGTTCACTTAATTTTTCAATTACTCTAAAAATTGTCATACTAAGGCTCATACTTAACACCGCACTACGTACCTGCACAACTAAGTTTCGGGTAGCAGTTTTTACTTCTACTTCTTTTACTTCTTATTCATTAAAATTATACTGATAAACGATGAGATTGATGCAAGATGCAAAGCGTAAATGTAACGAAATGGTGATAATTTTTGAAACTAATAGGATACGATAGATTCATCTTATATTTGTATATATATATGTATATACACTATGTGATATATATATATATATATTAAAAATTGTTGATAATATATATATATATATATATATATATATATATATATATGTGTGTGTGTGTGTGTGTGTGTGTGTGTGTGTGTAAGTGGCAATAAAAGAAGAAGTTAATTTAGCGGCGTGTTTCAACGATTAGACACCTATTGAAGACAACTCAGTCAATGATATAATTAGAATGAAAAACATTTTATGGATGAAGATACTATAGATACTAATTAAAATACCAGACACCAAAACGTTCAGTGAAACTCCACGACGGATCGTTCGGATACATCGAAGTCCTCAAGCTGAAGGTTAGATGCCAAGGACATTTCTGGATTTTGGATTTGATTTGAATTTTTCATAACTTTTTTTTTGATTTTAGTCATTTTAACATTAATTAATTATTTGAATTGCGATATTATAAGTGGTTGCATGGAAATTTAGGATCTTGTCTGTATCAAAAGTTTATAAAAATTTATGTTGAGAAAGAAATATAAACAATTTTGATGAAGTTTTGCTTTAGTGTTTATGAAAATGCACCCAACTTCGATTTGAAATGAAATCAATTTCATTATCTTTGTAAAATAAATTAATTTCTCTAAATAAAGTTTTCGATTAGAAAGCTTTCGTTCGTCACTTGTACCCTATTGCAAAATATTCATTCAAACAAACTTTGTAAACATTTTTTCTCTGTTTATTAAATTTATTTTATAAATCATTAAGTTGATATATTTTCATTTTTATCTTTAATTAAAGGTAACCTTCTGCTATAGTTTATTTTTAACAATTCTTTCAAATAGTCTCTTACGTTCTAAGCTTTCCACTGGGTATTGCGTTCGAGTTTACTCACATTTTAGCGTTGAGAATTTAAGAAGGGGTTAAAACGTTAAAATTGTAGATTAGATATTCGAATGACATACATTTCAATTTTGAATATAAATCACATCTACGCCATTGTTTCCACACTAATACTTGTTTAATAAATCACAAATTTTCTACGCTGAATACTTTCTCAAACAATAACTCGCCAAATTCTGTCATTTAAACCGTCCCAATGATTCACACTGTGGCAAGCATAATAATAAAGTTCTAAACGATGATATTTGACAGGGAGCCAAGTATGAAATAATAACTTTGAAAGTTAGTGCTTTAGTTTATTTTATTCCACTGAATCATCATTTATTTTAATTTTAATGTTCTCGTGATAAATTGTCACATTGAAACTCATTGATTTTGTTCCCTATAGAAAATTTTACAATCGTTTTTGCAGTTTTTATTGCTGCATTCAATTGATTTTAAGTATTTTAAAACATTTCGTGGCTCCACAAAATTTGGTCATATTTTTTCAGACAAATCAAATTTGTATATTCATCAATAGATTAAATATCAATTCACTCAACTCTATCAGCTTTTTACTGGGCAATGCGTTCAAGTTCACTCATATTTTAACTTTAACAACAACAACAACAATAATTATATTAATAATTGTACAACGCTTCAGTAGGCTATGCCGGCTTTAATTTTTTAAATTATCGCCGTAACAAAATTTTCTTTCTGATGCAAAAATGATTGAAATATATGGAGTAATTTGAGTTATTAAAAGCTCCTCAGAACGACCGCATAGCCAAAAAAAATTACATAGCACAACTGTTACCTAAGCCGATTCACCAGCCGTATTGCTACTAGGCTACGTTTTGTTGACCGCAGTTATAATATTAATATACAACATAATGTAACTGCTACCGAGTTTATCTGCGGTAGCTTGATTTTATCGAATTCCTCTAACACAAATGAAATGAATACTTTGGAAGGGCGAGCCGGGTAGGCCGGGCACTCCAGGTAAGGATGGATTACCTGGGAGACAGGTTGGATAAATTTTATTATTATAATTATTATTATTATTAATGTTAATGTTATTACAATCGTTACAAATAGGCACGATTGCATATTTGGGATGGAATAAAATTCAATTCATTATATAAAAAACGAGTTGAAGAAAAGATAAGATACGTAGTGTAGTAATAGTAGTAGTACTAGTAGTAGTAGTAAGTAGTAATAAGTAGTATTAGTAGTAGTAGTATTAGTAGTAGTAGTAGTAGTAGCAGTAAGTAGTAGTAGCAGCAGCGGCATGAACCGATTTTTGGAAAAGATGAAACCCATATCGATACGCTATTTTGTCTGCCTCTATGGTAAAAATAAATGGTTAAATACCAATAAATAATTATAACATTTATTTATTTATATTTTTAAAATTATATATTTTTATATTAATCTATTTAGTTTTTTTAATTTTGACCATTTAGGGCCATCCAGGAGAAATGGGCAAACGAGGCTTTCCGGTCAGTAGCCGGTGTTTTGTATTAATTTTTTATTAACTAATTAAATCATTTTTTATTAGTGTTTTTCCAGTTTTTTAATTTAGTGTCAAGTTGTACAAATCAACATCTGTCAATTGAAGATAGCGTAAGCATATTTTTGAAGAATAAGAATAAAAAAGTTTGTAATTCGTTCGCCCGACGGACAGTAGTAATTCAGTAATCAATTGATATTATTAACATTTGAATATCAGAGTTCCTTAGACAGTTATTGCTGATGTTATTTAATGTTATCAACCTCATTATCATAATTTTTTTAATACATTTTATTAACAAAAAAATTAATTTAACGCCATCGTTATCTCGACATCATCTTTACCATCGTCATAATCGTCGTTTTCATCATCATCGTCGTCGTCCTCACCCTCATTATTATCTTCGTCGTCATCACCATCTTCATCTTCGTCATCATCGTCGTCATCATCGTCAACAACAACAACAACACGAGTGATTAGCAGGAATGTTCCATTGACTTGACCGCATATGTTAACAAACAACAGTCGCCTGCAGTCTTCTAGTTACTGAATGATAAGTAGATAAGCAGATATAAATATACTTGATTTATTTATTTTAGGCAAAACGTGAACAACAAAGAACATTGAAAAACCCAAAAAAACAGAACAAAAAATATGACAACAGTTTTATAACTGAATGTTTTCCCGAAGTAAGACTTCATTTCCTAGTTCGTGTTTATTAATCGTTGCTCTGCGAACAGGATGTTTTCATGTTCATTCTGAAATTTTTTTGAAGTGAGGGTGGCCGAACTTCTTTTAGGGCCACATAATTCTCGTTAATTTGGTTTCGGAAGTTTGCTCACCTACACAAACATTCAATATACAACTTGCACACATCATACAACACACCAACTCAGCATACATCACACGCACGCAGCGTACAACACACCCATACAGCGTACAACACACGCACACACAAATGATATCAAAATACTTTGTTTCAATACTATTCCTGCGAATAAAATCCTGAAATAAGATCGTGACTTCTAATTTAATACATGAACTATGATGGTATAACAGTTCATGAGATCATAAAATGAACCAAAATCATCTGTTTAACAATTCATTTCAATCATGAAACAAAAATAGAGAATTGGTGGCACATGAAATCGTTTATGACTGTGTACGTCAAGAAATTCGTCCTTACTGTATTTAGAAAATTAAACAACTTGACCATTTCATTTCACATGAATAACTTATGACAGTCAGTTTCATTGTTGTTTTGCTGAGATTGCTAAATTTTATTTATACTTTGCCGAAAAATCTTTTCGTTATTAATCAGAATAGTTGAATTTAATCAATTAATAGAATTAATTAAACTTAATTAGAAATGAAATTTGTATACTACCCATGGCGTGTTTGATATAGCAGAACAAAAGCAATCTCAACTTCATAACAGTTTACATGACTCGTCTGGATAGAATTGCACAGGGCCTTTGTGTTTGTGTGTCCGTGTCTGTGTGTGTGTGTGTGTGTGTGTGTGTGTGTGTGTGTGTGTGTGTGTGTGTGTGTAAACACCGGTGTAAACATTCTGTGTGTATGTGTGTGTGTGTGTGTTTGAATGTATATGTGTGTATTATTTGTATCTGCTTGTGTTTGTTATGTGTTTCTTTCCGTGTAGACTGTATTGTTTTAATTAAACGCGTTATATCTAGTTCTCGTATTTGTTTGTATGAATGAATCGCCACACTATAACACACACACACCACACACACGCGCGCGCATACACACAAGCACAACACACACACATAAACACAAACACACATTTATATAACCAACTGGCATAACAGACCATTAATCAAATTCATTTATATAATACATCACTTCTTCCATTATGTTAACCTCTGCTTGTTTGATTGATGGCTTATTATTATTATTATTATTATTTTTATTATTATTATATTAACAATAATTACTAAATAATAATTACCGAATTGCTCAACGCGTTTTTATGTATTTTTGCCACCAATTAAAATAGCAGTAAACGGATTTCTTTAGCTCGGTCGGGTCATGATTGGTTGGTCATTTAGTAGTAGTAGTAGTAGTAGTAGTAGTAGTAGTAGTAGTAGTAGTAGTAGTAGTAGTAGTAGTAGTAGTAGTAGTAGTAGTAACAATGATAACAATAATAATAAAAAGAAGAAAATTTGAATGATAATGCTGTTGAAGCTGTTGCTACTACTACCACTACTACTACTGCTGCTACTACTACTACTACTGCTGCTGCTACTACTACTACTACTGCTACCACCTACCAATACTACTATTACTTCTACTACTACTACATCTACTACTACTACTTTTACTACTACTACTACTACTACTGCTGCTGCTGCTACTGCTACTACTACTACTAATTTAATTTTCCAGCATATCATATTATGCTGTATTAGTAAATTTTTATATCTTATTTATAATAAAAAAAAAAACGAAGAATAAAGTAGACAAGGATGAAAATATTTTATTAAAAGTTTATCGTGATTTCATTGGTAATAAATAAATGGTATAAAATAGCTAGACAACAAAACTACAAGGATGTATTGTGTCTTTGATTATACACAAGTGAAGAAATATATTAAAAAAGATGTGTTGTTTGTGTGTGTTGTGTGTATTTGTAAAGTTATGTGCGTGTTTGTGTGTGTTGTGTGTGTGTATTTGTAAAGTTATTTTTAGGTGTTTTGAATATATAACAATAAATAAAATATATAGGTGTATATGAGTTGCATGTGGGTGTGTGTGTGAATATGTGTTAGTATGCGTGTTTGATGTGTCTATTTGTAAAGTTATTTTCGGCTGTTTTCAATATATGACAATAAATGAATAAAATATATAGGTATATATGAGCTGCATGTGTATGTGTGAATATGTGTTTGTATGTGTGTGTGGTATGTCCAAGTGTGTCTGTTTATATATGTGTGTGTCAAAAACATGGACAATTTTATTTATCATGCTGGTTATTGCATTTTTTTTTCGTTTTTTTTTTGGTTGTAGTAACTGAATGTAATTCAGTTGGTATCGGTTACCAAGATATTGTAGTCTGCATTGAAGAAAAAACGAAGTGATGTAGTTATCATTGTAGATTTATGCCAGAATAACAAACCAAGTTACTAGGAGTTATTAAGTGAACTATGTTTAATATCAAGATCTTTAGATAGGATTATTTGCTGGAATGTCGTAATTTTTCAGAAATGTTGACATCATCATTATAACCATCCTAATTGTTATCGTTGTTACTATTATCATCATCATTGTCATCGTTCGTGAGATCGTCATAATTATCACCGTCATCATCATCATCATTATCACCGTTATCATTATCAGTATCATCAAAGCCGTCATCATCATCATTATTATCATCATCGTTTTCATCATCATCATCACCATCCAATAATTTCCCAGCAAGATGAAACAGACAGAGCGTTAGATGTCTTGAGATATTTATACAAGTTACAACAACACATGTTACTATGTGATGTGATGTGATGACGATGATGACGAGTGAGAGGTGGATGGGTAAGTGAATAACGAGACGAAAACTGAATGAATGAATGAGTGAAGGAAGGAAGATGCGAATTAATGAATGAATGAATGAACGAACGAATGAACGAATGAATTAGTGATGGTACGAATGATTGAATGAATAAATAAATGATTGAATTAACGCATGAGTTGATGAGTGAATATCCGACTGAACACTATCTGCAATAGTAAATCTTGATGAATTTAATGAATGAATAAATTAGTTATCCACAAATAATTTTAAAATGCAGTTAATTTCATTTATTAAATTTCTGACAAAATGAATATCTGCAATATTTTCTTCCTACTAATTTGCAAATGTCTACTACTGAAAAAATGTGAGATTGCAAATCGATTTGTGGGCATGAATTAAGGAACGCCTTTGAATAAAAATAGTAAAAAAAAAAGATGAAAAGAATGAGCCAAACTTATTGACGGTTCGTTGGCAACTGTTGTTTGCATTGCCGCACGTACGATGGAAGTGTTACTTGCAGATCACAACAATTGCTCTTAAGTGTATTTAACACAATCGCCAGTTACATGCTACATACACTGGACATGTTAACATGTAAAAGTTTTCATACGTAGGTACATATACACGTCCAATTTTCGCGGATACAAATCCCACAAGAAGATGGTGTTGAAAGTTATATATTTATTGTTGTGTGAATGAGAAGTTTGTGAAATGTAAAATATTATATTATACAGAAAAGTCAACATGTGCGTATTGTACATGTGAACAACCATGCACAAAATGAACATAAATGTACACATGTGTGCACATGCATCCAACTTTCTAGCAGTTGTTCATTTTTATGGTACATACCAGCGCAAATATTCAACGGTAAATATGAATACACGTACAAATAATTTGCATGTCAACACAAAAGTATGCGTTGCAAATCAGAAAGCATCGAACGCGAACAAACTCTTACTGAAACGAAGAATTGAATATTTCACAAAAATGTTAATTTGGTCTAATGGTATGAAATAAGATGCTTCATTCATTTTGGGCATCACAACCTTGGTCTTTTGTACACGAATGCAGCAAACAGCACAACTAATATAATTTCATTAATTTGAATAAATCACATTGAAACTATCTAATTAATTTCAAAAACATCCGTTGGCGTAAAAATATAAACATGCAAAATAAAAAAATTTAAACAAACTCACGCAATTTCGATCATTCACATGGAAACGCCAACACTGCTTCAATCAAGTTTGATTAAGAAACTTTGGTGATTCTAGGCTATTTATTTGAACGTAAATTAGAATACCTTTTTATATTCTATTATTTTTTTATTGGACAGGGTTTAAAAGGCGATCCCGGTGAACAAGTGAGCATTTAGAATTTGATCTGATTCCAATTCATCGCTGGTTTTGCATTCATGATTAATTATTTATAATTAGTTGTCCAATTGAAATGTTTTTAAGGTTTACAAGCTTGAATGACTTTTGTTTTCAGCTGCAAATTTTATATTATCAATCGATAATGTAGAAATGGAAATATTTAACATTATCGATTAAAAATAACTAGAAAGTGAAAAATTAATCTGACAACTTTTTTATCATATAGTGAGAAAACCATGTCGTTATAAAATGGTTAAGGGTCTGTTACACCCCTTAGGTTCAGAGAAACCAACAACACTCCACAAACATCCCATATGAAGACACGCTAAGCGACGCATCACGTATGAAGCACGTGAGAGACGAGGATCTTTTTGTCATATTCGAATCGAATCCAGTCACTGCACACAATGCGAAACAGCACCAGGCGATCTTAAGCACTCGGCCATCAAACTGTTGTTAATATTTATTTTCTCATTGACTAAAACTCACAAAGTTACAATGGCAATAAATGGAAATTGATGAAATTGAAAAGGGACCGAAAGGAACTTCCGCATTCACCCCGTCAGACGTTCAGCATATGTTGAACCAAGCTAGCATCGTTCTCCCTCAGGGTCCGCCTGGGGCTCCTGGCAAAAAGGTTTTTACATTTTTTATGAAAGAATTGAAATATACTGTTTTAATTTTTGAAATTTAAATGCATTGAATGATTTTAAAAGATGTGGAATGAAGCGCGAACACATATTTATTTACGTATAAAACATAAATTAGGCAATTTCATGGTTTCTTTTCAACTTACATATGAACATTTTTTAAAACGAACACATAATTTGAAATTGAATCAGTGGTTTGAAAAATCAAATTACAGTTTATAGTTCTTTATATGTTAGCTACAAATATGTAGAGGAGAGTCGGTGGTTATAAATCACGGCACCATCTCTTATTAGTTGGCTCGATACCTGCCTGATAGAAATAATTCGGCAGATTTCAAAATGTTGGGCGCCGAGCCACTATAAATTGAATCTTTTTGCCGATATGAAATATTTAGCAAAAGATAGATGTTTAAAAAGATTATAGAGAAAATAAGTAAATCGAAAATAAATTTGTTTTGAATTTTTGATAGGGTGATTTGGGAGCACCGGGAATGAAAGGTGAAAAGGGCAACAGAGGAAAAAAAGGAGATGACGTCAGATTTTGTTTAAGTTTACAGATTTCAGTTTTTTTTTCTTGAATTATTCAAACTGTCAAGAAGACCTGTGCAACGTCAACGTATAAAACATTGACATTGATTTTATTTCTCTCTGTCAAAATGTCAACTTTTTTCTAAACCAAATGACTCTTTTTAGTATTGAAAACAACAGGGTTATCCAGGTTTAAAAGGTGACAAGGGAACCGCAGGCAATATGGGATCTTGGGGTCCGCCTGGTCCTAAAGGAGATGCCGGTGAAAGAGGAGAACATGGAATCCAGGTTTTTTTTTTATAAAAATTTGTCCAACAATTTTTGGTATTTTTACGCTAATTTTATTTATTCAAAAGGGTCCCATCGGCCCACCTGGACATCCTGGATTGGCAGGTAAAAACGGACAGCCAGGACCGCAAGGCCCACCAGTTAGCATCATTATGGTGTTTTTCTCTAATATTTGGATGCTTGAAGTTACTTGGAAAATTGCCAAAATTTAAAAATTGTTGAATGAAAATTGAACAGTTTTAAATTATAAAGATGTCGATCCCTTTTATTTCAAACCTAAAGAGACTACCTAGCAGTAAATGCTCTACTATGTTTGACTCTAATAGCATAGAGATATAATGTTAATAACATAAATTAAATATAATTTTGTACAAAAAAATGTTCTAATTTTGAAAAAAATTTCAAGACAATATAGTCGCACTAAACAAATTACAAAAATTAAAGAAATAAAATGAGTGAAATAGTTTTGAAAAAATAAAATGCTTATTATAAAATAGAAACAAAATCATGCATGAAACATACAAAGTATGTTGTACCCTGCTAACAAAATTCAAGGGTCACCAAGGAGCGAAAGGTGAAAGAGGAGATGAAGGAAGTCCAGGTGTTGATGGAATGATTGGTCCACCTGGATTACCTGGCCCACCTGTATGTTTTTTATTAGGTTTTTATTTCCTTTATTTTTTCCTTGAATATGTTAATATTTTATGAACTTATCATTTCAGGGTGAGCCCAACATTTTGACAACAAGTGATATGGAAAGTGGGGTGAGTTGAGTGTTGTTTACTTTTTACAGAAATTGAAGTTTTTTTTTAAATTTCAATGGAGCTACGTTTGTTTTCGTTGCAGTCATTTTTATACAAATTGTCTTTATGTGTTATTGTATTTTGTATTTTTTCCAAGGTCTTTCATGTTAGAGGTCCTCCTGGCCCACCCGGTCCAATGGTTAGTATGTGGATGCGTGTGGGCGTGTGTATGCGTGCGTCAGTTTGTGCGTGTGTTTGTGCGTGTGTATCTATTTAGGTTGTGTGTGTGTTTGTGTGTGAAGGAAACTAAAGATCTTAAGATACTTAAAATACGAATAGTTGGTAATATATTAACCGCTTTAATCTTGGCCTTACAAAATTTTTATTTTTAATATTTCTCACTTCCATGGCACTGTCTCTGTATTTTGTCTGCAGAAGAAATGAAAAGTCGCCAATAGTGTCATCATTTTGTGTGTTAATCTAATTGGTTTCGTATTTCTGGAATGAAAATAAACTTTCAAACATAGAGATACTGTGATAAGAAATTGTTCAAATATTGCATACATGAAAGACAAAACAATGAAGCTATTATATGTAGCGGCATATATTGAAGATTTTTTGCTGTTCTTTGGAAGTTGATAATCTGAAGTGAGAAATCTGACGAAATGTCATTGTGCGGATAGACAGGGAGCCAACGTGAAATTAGTTTCTTTAGAAAGTTGGCACCGCTAATGTGTAACAAGAGTAAGTTGATAAATACAAAAACAACTTTAAATGTCGGGCAATACTTGTGTATATCCACTGAACATGTTATTCGATGAGTGTTTTGTCTGTAAAATGTTGATTAAAACTTGTCAGGCGTTCGTTGTTATTACAATAAACGCTCATTTTTCTCGTTCAAGGAATTGCTTATCGCAAAACAACACTAAAATAACCAGAGTAATGTGAACTGTTGTACAGGAAAATTTTTTATTTTCTGTATGAATATCATGTTTTATTTTCACGCTATACAAAAGCAAAACAATGGCCTAAACCATGGGTGGGCTTACTTATCTCGAAGACCGCATTCAAATTTATGTAGATGATTTTGGAGGGTCCTATATAACGCATTTAAAAAACCAGCGGGCCGCAGTTTGCCTCTGGTGCAAATAAAATAAAATAATATTATGAAAACGTTGAATCTTTTTGGCTCGCACTTTTTTGCCTATCGCTACCAAAGTTCCTAAATTGGTAAAAGGCGGAAGAGAAAATCATTTACGTTATTTCTTTATTGCAGGGTCCTAGAGGTGTTCAAGGAGTAGCTGGAATTAAAGTAATTCTTTCATTTTTTTAATTTCCAAATTTTTAATATAAGGTTTTTTTTATATTTTCACTATTTTTTACTAACATCCATTTATATTTCTTTCTGTTATATAATATTTAACTGCACTATTTTCATCTTTTAAAAAACAGGGTGAAAGAGGTTTCACCGGAGAAAAAGGAGATATGGTTCGTAACTTTTTCTCAACTTATGATTCGTATCGCTTGTTGTAAATTCGGTTTGCTACAATGTTTATCGCGGTAATGAATGGTTCGTTTTTTTTACTTTTAATTGATAATTATATAATTTTAAATATTTATTCATGCGTAAAATCTGGCGTTTCTATATTTTTTGAAACAACCCAGATAAACTCGTCTGCAAACTTATCTGTGACTAATAAACTACCTACATTTTGTTATGACAAAAAAAAAATTTTTATAGAGAATTTTTTTTCCTTCGTAGTTTCGGAAGTATATGTTGAGGATAAATATTACATCACGACTGACATTTCGTTGTTTTGATGTTGCCGAAGAAATAGATAGCAAATAATTTTATAGTTAATAAATAACACTGATGATAAATAATGAAGAAATTATTATTTTATTATTATTATTACCGTAGATAAAAAAGTTTGTCTGTATTATATTTTGTGTTATTTTATTTCACTGGCTATTGTGAAAAAAATAATGATAATGATAATACACGTTTATGTTCTATGAATATTAACAGCACTGCTACTGCTACGGCTCTTACTACTACTCTTACTACTGCTACAACTACTACTATTACTACTATTACTACTACTACTACTATTACTCTGCTGCTGCTACTACTACTATAATTACTACTACTACAACTGCTACTAATGTTACTGTTTCTACTACAGTCACTTTTTGCTTCTACTACCGTTACTACTGTTAAGGATGATAATATATAAAAATAATAATAATAATTATAATACTGAAAAACAATGATAAATAACGAAAAATAATTATGAAATAAATGCAGGGTGAAAAGGGCGAACGGGGAGAACAAGGGCCGCTAGGACTACCGGTTGGTTAATACATTTTTTTGTTTTTCAGAATTTTCTCTATTTTGTGTTATTTTATTTCTTCCATGTTATCAACACGGCAATATAACACCGTACCATCTCAGTTGAAAACTTGACCGCCTAACATTTAACAACATTATTCAATCTTTCATTGGCTGTGTTGCATTTTAACAGACTTGCATTAACAAATTTTTATTTGCCTTTTGGCAAAGCATTCCTATTTTTTTTATTTTTAACACAGAATGTTAACATTATCCATTGGCAATGATTTTTTATTGTCAAATAACGTTAACATTGTTAGCTATTTTGCTATTAGGCCTAATTCTAATGCAAAAACCAAGAAAACTTAACATAATTGTATGGATTGCTAATAAAAAAAATAATTTCCTAATTTGATTAACGTGGAAAATTGAAAGTAATTAATTATTAACATGAAAAAAATATTTAACACTTGCACGACCCGCTAACACGTATCAATTGATTGATGTTACCATGAAGGGTGTCGATGGAATCAATGGTACAATGGTTTGTATTGCATTTTTCATTATTCTATCAATGTTTGTGAATACTTTATGAGTATTAAAATTTGTTAAACCTGCATGTTTCCTCATATGTTTAGCAGTATAATGTTAACTTTTAATACACATTTTAACAGAACGCGTTTGTATTTTACCATCTATAACAGAGCTGGGCAAACTTCTTGCTGTGAGGGCCGCATTAAGAACTATTTTACTTTTGAAGGGCCACACATGTACTTAAATTTAAACAGCAGATTTTTTCGACCCGGGGAAAAATTTGTTTTAACATTTGTGATTCCTTTTTTTGGCCATAATGTCTGGCTTTTTTTGGAACAAGGCCGGACGTAGTTTTCCCACCCCTGATCTACTATAACACCAGTCTTATAATATTGAACAAATGTTCATAAAATTGTTATATGAGAATATTAGTTAATTTAAACAAAAGTTACATTGTTTAGAGTAATCTGAATAATTATTCAAGTTACGCTTACGTCACAATTACGCTGCGTTTAAATCTGTTTGTAACTTTTTCAGGGACCAACTGGTCCGCAGGGAATGAAGGGTGAACGTGGTGATCCTGGTGTTAAAGGAGACCCAGGAATTATGGTAATGTTTTATTATTATCATTTTTTATTACTATAAGTAGCAGTAGTAATAATATATTAGCAGTGGTAGTAGTAGTAGTAGTATTAGTAGTAGTAGTAGCAGCAGTAGTAGTAGTAGTAGTAATAGTAATAGTAGTAGTAGTAGTAGTAGTAGTAGTAGTAGTAGTAGTAGTAGTAGTAGTAGAAGTAATCATGATACAATGGCAATGAAGAATTTGGCGATTTTATACCGCGTCTTGAACGATTACGATGATGACCTTCATATTTCCACTGCAAACCTTAGCAATAGTAGCATCATCATTGATGATAAATGGGATGCTGATGATGATAGTAAAAATGATGATAATAAAGACGATGATGATAAATCTTGACGATGATGATGACGACGATGGTGATAAGGATGAAGATGATATGGTGATGACGAGGAATGAATGTAATGTTTTGTAATGTTGTTAACAGCTATTCCCTCTAAAGCATTTGTTATAACATTTTTTGATGAACTGAATGATGATGTTGTTTATGAGGTGGGTGAGAGATGGTGACGGAAAAGAAGAGGAGAGGATGTGTGAGATTGTGATGAAAAAAAAGGAGAATACGTTGTGAGATGATGATAGGAATGAGGATGAAAATTTCTCAAAAAAAAAATGATTTATGACGGGCAAAATAGTTTTTGACAAATTAAAAATTTCACAAAAAATATCTGTACCTTCATTGTTAAGTTAACAGGTTAACGCGATTTTTAATGCTAACTGCTACTTCTTATCTTACAAATTATAATTTATGGAATGACGAACGTGTTGTTGCATATTTCCCAACAGGGCTTTCCAGGAACACTGGTTAGTCATTTTTTTACATTTTCCACATCCAAAACTTTATCAGCCAGACTAATAACCAAACTCTTGTGATCAAATTGCTCTATTACTAAACACAAAACGTCTTAACCACCTACGCAGGGCTTACAGGGAGAAAAAGGCGAAATGGGACCTAGGGTAATTTAGATTTAAATTTGTTTTATTGTGTTAGTGTAATCATTTCAAGCTAAGAATTTGGTTTTTAAGGTGAATGTTTCTAATTTGAAAATGCTTCTAGCAGCGAGTTGGTTTGTTTTCACCGCCACGTGCCGTTAAAATTTTAATGCGTTCTCTGGATGGTGCGAATTCGTATTTCAACTTTTTAATCTGTTTATAAATTTTTACTTTTCTAATTTTTAATAGACTGCTTCGGTGCTTGCAATCTGCAACAACATTATTTCAAGGCTGGCAAATTTGAAAGCAATTGGTGTATTTATTTGATAGCGTAGTATTTTATGTTAAGAATGGGTAAGGACTAGGAAAAAAATCTTATAATTTGAAAATAAATTACAAGGCATAGTTAAAAAGTCAGATCTGAACCTCTGAAAAAAATTCAAAAGCCGCAAACTATTATATCTTGAAATTCAAGGAACACAAACTGTATTATATTTTGGGATTCAGCGTGCAGTTTATTCATTTCAACATTGCCAATCTAGTTAAGTTTCAATCAAAAATAATGTTAAGAAATAATTATAAAGATAAAAAATAAATGATAAATGCCTGAATACTTGACGTTGTAGGCCTGAAACTTTAATTTATATCAATACTTTGAATTGTTTTTGATGGCTCAAACATCAAAAAGTAGAATTCCTATCGAATGTTTAGTCTCAGACATGAAACAATAATTGTAGACGTCTTCTCAAAAACGAGACACAGCTCAATAAAGTGCTCATAAATTTTGAAAAGTTTATCCGATCAAACGAAGCGTTTTTAAAAATATATTTGTCGGTAAGAAGATGAAAATGGCTTATTGAACTGAAATAGAAGCACTTTTTTTTACAAAATTAAATAATATTTTTGCAGGGTTTACGCGGTAGGAGAGGCAGGAAGGGTGACACTGGAGAATCGGTGGGTGATTTAAATTAAAAACTTTCAATTTTCAATTACATCGATACTAATAAACATTCATTTGCGTATTCATTTGAAGAATAACTTTTAAAAAGTTTACAATATAGTCATTTTTTCCATGTAAACTGCAAATGTTGAGTGAGAGACTTGAGACAAAACACTTCTGATCGGCAGATATACCTGTGTAACAACGTGCCATTGGATTGATAACTTCTAAATTATCAATCTAATGAAAGTGTTGTTATTCTTTGCTGAATTTTTCTTTATTTTATTTAAAAATTACACTACTTTTATTTCATTAATTTTTACCTCAAGTGTAGATTAACGTCCAATTCTTTCTTAAAATAAACTGCTATCTTTTCCAACTTGTCGTTCCATAGCAATAACTGGTTCGATATGCTTCCAATTTTATGTTTATTTTATTTTTTCGTCACGGCTGTTTATTCTTTTATTTTTTTCAGATTTTAATTGCAGTTTAACAATTCTCTCTTCATATTTTCTCCGGTTTCTGTAATATTCCTCTCTGCATAACCTAATTAGCTTACGATCCTTGGTCTCATTTTCTCAATGTTCTTTGTGCTGTTCAGTGGAGGCGCTGAGTTACTTATGCATGGCATATTGTTTCCGAGTCAAATTTTATTCGATATAAGTTTTATAGTTTTCAGATTTTAGCGCATTCGATCATTTGGCTTTATTAAACAATTGACGATTTTTGCACTATTTCATTCATAACATTGTTATTTAGAAATCGATAAACGTGTGCTATTTATTGTGACTACGTTTGCTAATCTAATTTCCGAATGATATCCTCACCTGCAATGTTGAAAACTCACCGACGACATCTTAAACTTATCAAAGTTTCATAACAAAAATTCCATCATGACAATTTAATTAGCGTTTAAAATAACCTTCCTCATTATCATAACATTTAAGATATAATAAACCTTCTCATTAACTTAATAAAAAAGGTAAGATGTTAACCACTTAACATGGCTTTCATCTCATTAACTAAAAATATAGAAGTAGGTTAACACAACCTTCACCTGATTAACATAAAATATATAAAACATAATAACCAGCGAATCATATTAACATAACCTTCACTTCATTAACATAATATATAGGGCATGCCGGGGTTGGATGGCTTAGATAGGCTTTGTCCAGTTGGTGATGATGGCCACCCGTTGGCCACGTGTTTTAATAACATATTTAACACTTAGTAGGTCATTTGAATATTTTATTTATTAACTCTTTCCATTAACTTATTTAACAACTTTCATTTGGAATATTATCAAAAAATATCATTCACATATATTTATTTACTCATTAAAACAACGTTAAAAATCATGGGAATTATCCAGGTTTATTTTTGTCATTCGCCAATTTTGTGTGGCTATCAGAGGCCCAGCCAATAAAATCCATTTGGTGACTACCAAATGGGTTTTATTGGCTATTTGTGTATTAATTTATTGAAGGCTTAGTTACGAGATTTTTTCCTAAACCAAATATGAACGCGTATGTGTTTGTAGTTGAAAACTCTGAAGCAGTTGCACAAAAGAAATTGACCTTTGACTTTTAAAAGTTCAGTTTCATAGAAATGTATTGATAAACATGAATTTCTAAGCAATACACATCATAATTTTTCCACGAAGAAATACTTTTGAATAAATTTTGTTAAATTTTATGAAATTAATATTATTTTATTTAGAAACCTGAAAAGAAATGGAAGGGCAAGCAAAAATTTCGTGGTCGAAGTTCAGTTGTGAATTATAACTGAAAGTTGTTCGTGCCATCCTGATTCTGTTTCTTTTTCTTTTTTTCTAGTTTTCTCTTTCACTCTTTTACGTTTGAATAGATTTCAAAATGTTTTTTCACTTTTGATTCGTCTGTTGTTTTTAGAATATATATATATATATATATATATATATAAGGTCGCTGCTATATATATAATTTTATAATTTTATCCTTGTTTCTTAATAAGTTGTTTGCATGTGCTCCTTGAAAAGAACCAATTGGAAAAATGTTTATACTCCATTCAACCTCCGTTATCGAACTCATCGAAATGTGTGTGTGTGTGTGTTTATGTGCCTGTATATCTGTGTATATATGTTTTTGTGTTTGTGTGTGTGCGGAGTGTGTGTGATTTTTTCAGTTACGTATGTGGTAAAATTGTTTGTTTATGTGTTTTACTATTAACTTAACTATGCATGGGCAACTGATATTTTGCCTGATGAACACGTACCGATATAAAAGATGTTTATTTACGTTATTGTATTCATGTATATGAAATATATGTTAAGTAAACATTTATGAAAATTATGTTCTTAACCATTAAACTGATTAAACTTAACGCGTGCAATTTTAATTATTATAGAAGGGACTGTTCATTTGTTCTGGATAATTTTAATCCGGCAGATGTCTCAGTTGAAATGGTGTTTCATCAAACTTATTCATTGGGATGATCATTATGAATAAAGTAATAATTGAGGTTGATTATTTTAGTCTGGTTTAAGAAATGAAAGTAACCAGCCCCTTAACGTCAACGCAATGATGAATATATTTATTAAACGTTTTTATCTTGTTTGTAAATTATTAATTTTTAATGGATGTCTGACGATTGTTTTGAGGAATTTGTATTATTGTTCGCATGAAATTATGATTTGTTTTCATCTCATTGTCAAGTATTTGAAATAAATAAAATGATTTAGACAAACGTACATTGCAAGTATTGATAGTTACACGTGAAACAAGGCACCACTTACATTGTGTGTGATAGGCGAAGACCTCGTGATCGAATACGTTCTTTACTAATCAAGTAAAACTAATGAACTGCTTTACTACTGCTTCAAAGTTAAAGAACTTGTAACGCTAAACGATTTTGAAATAAAATTTTTCAGGCTTTTTTTCAATTTAAAGGAAAAGGAAGTTTGTGCAGGAAAAAGTTTGTGCAGTTTTCTAAAAAAAACTATATTTATAATCATATCAAAAGTATAATTTTAGTATTTTAAAAATGCAATTTGATAATGGTGTTAACAGACCAGGAATTGTTCGCAGTATTTGATATTAATGGGCCAACTCAAGTTCATTTGTTCGCCTAAGCATCGTTGGAAACTTTTAAAAGTAAATACAAAAAATATTTGGATATTTTCGCTTAATTGTTTTGTATACCCAATATTTTTCAGATTTGTATGAACATTGAATGAAAAGATGTCTTGTGGTTTTTTTTTATAAAATATTATTACATTTTAGAATTTATTTTTAAAAATTGTTTATACCCATTTAATTGTAATCCTGTTGATGATTCGGATGCGAAACCGATCACTGATTCCCGTTCATCATCCGAAAAACTGTTGATGGATGAATTATGGAAACATCTCGTGTTGAGTGATGGGAAAATAAATGAACAGATAAAATGGAAAAAATAGACTGACGTTCAAGTGGTGGAAAAGTTAGTTGGATGGATATATGGATAAAATGGAGATGTTTATAAAAATTTTTTCCATTTTGTTTTATTCATAGAAAGGCATATTTGGCTAATATTTAGCTAAAAACCAAACCGATGTTCAAACCTACATACTAGTTCTATGGGGTCTACAAAGTTAAACTATGTGACTTATATTTTTATAAAAGCATTTTTAAAAATTGGCTTGAGTCTTACCATCGCCATTAAGTGAAATAAAATGTTCACAATGAAGTTTTGTTGGATTGAAATAACTAATTTTCACGATAGACCCGATGAATTAAACCTAACTTTAGTCTTTAAGTAGATTTTTTAATTATGTTCAACATGGCACTCATGTGATTGGTATCGATAGTGATAAAACTTTTATACCAGTCGTTAAGTTTATGGTTCACAAGTTACTGCGCCGTTTATAATGTACTTAGGCATTTCAGTGCGATTTTAAGCAACTACTCCGAAATATTTTTTGAAATAATTAAGAAACGTGAAAATATTTCATACAAATTGTTTCATATAGATAGGTACAAACGTTCAAAATCTCACTTTGATATCTTCAATTCAATTCAACAGAACTGGTCAGAGAGGTTCGAGATATGTAGCCATGTTACTTCGTGATGTCATTTATAAAATCATTTAATTTAAAAATAAAATTATTAACGGTTTTTTAGCAAAAATCTTTTTTCCTGAAAATAGTTACAAAATTCTAAATAAAATTTCATCAGCAAACAAGAATTCAAAAAACAAAAACAAACATCAACAGGCGTAGTTAAAACGTCATATTGAATTGAAAACTTTTTTAATTCTTTAGCACCTCTTTTTTAATAATTTAATTTTTGATAAATACTTGCCGCAATGATTTCAGAATGATGATGAAATAAATTGGTGAAATTGAAAAATGTTTAAGATGAAATGTATAAAAAATAAAAAATATATAATGGATAAAAAGATTTGGTGAGGTTTTCAAAAAAAAGATAACAAGAATAATAGTTCTCTACTAATCTATTTTAAGTAACTTGAATCGATTTTAAAAATCATCTCCAAGGTTATGATCCTTTCTTTGGATAATAATATTTGATGTATACATACAATTTTAATTGATTGAATGAATTAACGAACGATGAAGCGAAAGAACGTACGAATGAACGAATGCATAAATGGACGAACGAACGAACGATTGAATTAAATGCATGAATAAATGAATGAAAAAACGAACGAATGAATGAATAAAGTAACACAACGAACTTAGATTGATTTGCACAACGATTTTTGCATCCAATCAAACGTTCATTATATGGTATGATAGAAAGATAACAAAAATAACTAAAAATAATTTTCAGAACCGAAGACACAATACCATACCAGTGGTACTCCATGTATCAAAACGCCAGCTAGATAGATTTCTTTTAGAAAATTTTTCTTACATAGTTTATCTTTTAGTCTCATCATTCTTAGCGAGACGAAAAATAATGTGAGAACAATTAACATTAACGTCTGTATGAACATTTTATTGCTTAACAATAGTGAAACTACAAAGAATTTTTATAATAACTTCAACGCTAGTAGTAATGTAATGATAATTAGCATGTGCAGCGAATGCATTTTGTAAATAAAATTAATATTAAACACACACACACAAGCAAACACACAAACACATACAAACACACACAAACAAACAAACACACTAACACAAACAAACACGCACAAAACTCAACGCTAGCAACGCGCTGGTTGTTTCTTAATTATTATTTTCTCACTTTAACTTGAACACATTTTTCCAGAACATGTAATGTAATACATTCACTATATCGACATACTTAACTTTAGCATATTTGAATTCAAGCAGCCTATACAAATATACTGTACATTATATCCATTATATGGCAAAATTGAAAATACCACGCACACACACACACACAAACACACACACACACAAGACTTTTAAAAATATACACATCTTTTTGAAAGATATGATTAAACCTTGATGAGAAAAAATTTTTTTGAGTTATCGACATAGCCGGAATCAAATGAACGCTATGGAATACTTAAGCAATCATTTGATTATTGATGGAAAATTAAATAATTTAATAAAGTAAGTTAAATAGATGCTTTGGTCTTTTTTCTTGATTTTTAACAATAAACTATTTGATTGAATGTTTTCATTTTCATTTAAATACAGCATTCTAACAGCTAATTTCACAAAAAACTGTCCTAATTTTTACTGAACATCTTAATAATGCAAACCGCTGGGAATGTAAACACAGACAGAACAAAAAAGATATGCTGAAGTATTTTAAACAGAGACCTAAGAATGCTTTGGATGAAGTTACGAATGTGTTGCATATTGGTTAGGCCATGCATCTCAATATATCTAAACATATATTGTAATATTTGTAAGTAGTCTTGCTGGTTCGTTGTTTTTTTCTCCTTCTCTCTCTCTCTCTCAAAGAAATAGATAAATATGATCTCATCCAGAAGAAAATAATTTGTTGGAATGAATGGATGAATGAATGAATGAATAATTACATTACATCAATCTATGTTGTGTTTGTTGCCATGTATCTTATCATGCCATTAGGACGAACCTACCTGTCTGAGCTTATATGTACATACAATGTTCAGCTAGCGATGGATCGCGGCGTGTTTGGTGATCATTAACATCGAATTAACAGTGCAAATACAAATTTTTATCCTTTAAAATAATGTAAATATTTTTTATATAACCAAAAATGATATAATTTTTCTAAATGTGCTCACGTGCGTGCGTGCGTGCGTGTGTATCTGTGTGTGTTTGTGTGAATGTGTGTGTGTTGTGTGTGTGTGTTTATGTGTGGATGTGTGTGTGTAAGTATGTTATTGTTTGTTTGTAAGGTTTATCTTCATACAAATGTTAATCCATCTACTACTCGCTCACGCAACACGCAATGCACTTAAGGCGAACAGGATTGTTACATATAATGCGCCTTCAGTCTTTCTTTGGATTGAGTTTATTTTCGTTGGTAGAGAGCTAAAAAATTGGGAGTTATGAATGAGATTTTTATTTAAAAAATTATAAATTAAATTAATTTTTTAACTAGTTAGTTAATAACGATGTTATTATTTATTGGTTGATTGTAGTTGTTTTCCCAATTAGATTTTTGGTGTCATTGCCTTTCAGTTTGGATGAAATGGCATAAATAAATTAAATGCGGATAAATTTATTTCAATTTTTAATGAGACTAGTTGTGGTTTTTAATTAATATTTATTGGTTTTGGTTAATCTGTTTGTTTTTTTTTCTAATTGGTTCGTTATTGGTTAGTTTGTTGAATTGTTCAGTTTATTGATTGATTGGTTGATTGTTTGGTTACTCACTGACTGATTGACAAATTGATTGCTTGATTGACTGATTGATTGGTTGGTTGTTTGGTTGGTTGGTTGGTTGGTTCGTTCGTTCGTTCGTTGGTTCGTTGACCGACCGACCGACCGACCGATTGACCGATTAATTGATTGATTGGTTGAAGTTTAGTTTTTTGAAGAGATGAAAATTAATTTATTATTTTTACATAATTTTAACAAATTTTTTATCTAATAATATCAATTCTTTATCGTTTACATTTTTATCATGTCATAAATTTACAATAGAGTAATTTTTTAATTAATATTTTAATTTATATATGTATAAATTGTTTGAATACTTGAAGGATTGTTCATCGAGCAAATGAAATGGATTTCTCAGCCAAACAAGACATGGGTGAGTTTACGATTTTTTTTTATTTTTTTAAAACTATTTTGATAAAAAACTAAAAAAAATTAAAAATTAAAGTATTAATTAAATAAGAAATAATAATTAAATAGTAATAATCGAAAGTTGTACTCTTAAAAAGCTAAAAGCCAAAAAAATCTTCAACATCAGTGACGTAAAAAAAACTAAACTAAACTACGACAAAATTACAAACATATTTAAGAAAAATAAAAACAGCCAAAAAACATAAACAACAACAAAAATTACACAAACATAAACAACAATCTAACAAAAGCGGCATAGACATAACCAAAAAGAGCAAAATATACAACAACAACATCATCATGGAATAACCACATAGACAATAGTATAAACAAAAACATAAAACATAAACAACAACAGCATGAACAACAACATCGCATACAGCAACAGCAGTTTTCGGAAAGATTAAACAACATCAAATACAACAGCATCCCTTTTCGCTAAGATTATAACCAACGTTGTGATCGGCTGACAAAACATCATTGGCACGTTTATCTTCTGTTACATTCTAAGTTGGTCGCGCGATTTTCATCTTAAGATCACAAAATCATTTCAAATCATTTCATTTTTTTAGTTAATTATATCAAAATATTTATCCCTATATTTATATTCTCATAATTTTGATGATTATTATTATTAATTATAATTATTAATTATACACTCTCGTAGCATATTTCCCAATCTTAAGAATGTCACAAAATTATTTCCGAAGCGTTTCATTTTTTCATTCATTCTATCATATTTAATTATTAACTCATATTTTTCATAATTTTAAATCGTCTATCGAACAATCCACTACTTATTTATACGAAACTGGTTTTCTAGTTGAGTGCAGCGTTTAATGACTGAACTGTATCGCTCTTCCAGAAGCGTGGATGAAATTTTCAGCGCATTGTTGTTCGGAAATTTGGTGAAGTGTGTAATGTAAACAAACACGATATGATATATGAGGGAGATGTAACTTATTTTCCCTTCTCCACACTGTTGCTGTTTTTTTGTTTTGTTTCTCGTTACTAGATTTCCGTCTGTTTGTTTGGTTCGTCGTTCTTTCGTTTGTTCGTTCGTTTGTTTTGTTTTGTTTGTTCATAGAATTGTGTTTCTTCCTTTATACCGGGAATAATTTCTCGTCTTGCAATTATTTTGAACGATTTTGTGTCATAAACTTGCCGTGTGATGATGAAGTATTAATGGAAATGGAATTAAAAGCACTTTCTGTCGCGATTTGTCACGATGTTAATTAAATATCATCATAAATTGGAATGTCATATGTATGTGTTTTATGCATGTCGTATGTGTTATATGTGTGGTATATGCACGTATATGTCTTATGTTAGTGTTGTACAGTGTTTGTGTGTGAAATGATCGTGTGTTTGTGTGTGTGGTGTTGTGTGTGTGTGTTTGTGGGTCGGTTTATGATAAATAAATCTAATAACTTGATTGTATTTGGCACTTATTGGCAAATAAACACTTCTCGATATTTGCATTTTTTATTCTTCTTTCGTTCGAATTAGAGTTATATTGCCAAGAAAAAAAAACTCAGATCCAATCATTTGCTGGCTCCTATCAAATTAATGGTAGGAAATAAAGTGGGATATAATGAAGAACATATGTAACACTTGAAACCTATATTGTTTGTTGAGGTTGAAGAGGTTGATTATGTTGTTGTTGATGATGTTGATGTTGAAAGTGATGATGTTGATGTTGAAGATGATGTTGTTGATGTTGAAGATGATGATGTTGATGATAAGGATGATGATGTTGATGATAATTTTGACGAAAATGTTGATGAAGATGTTGGTGTTTATTCTGATGAGGTTGTTGATGTTGAAGAAGATAATGATGATGATGGTAACGATGATTTCGTTATTGCTAATGATGATGGTAGATGTGATGATGACGATGATAACAAAAAGGTAGTTTAGAAATATGTCAGACCTGGAAAAGCTAATCACAACATGGGGATTACTGATATGATGGTGGAAACGAATACAACATCATTAATTATTTTCTCAAACCACATCGAACAATTTGATGAAAAACCAAATGAATGAATTTCAATTGAAACAAATTCAAGGTTAGGACAATTAGGTATGTCGTGCTTATAAAAAGTGCTACAACTCGAACGCATAAAAATTGTGAGTGTATAACGCATAAGCATCTTGATACTTCGTATAAGTTTTTTAAATGTAAATATTGTAACTAATGAAACCAAACTGAGTGTTTCAATAGTTTCCAAAACAATATAACACATTAACGAAACACAAAACAAAATAACTTAAAAAATTCTTTAATACTTTTTTTATTCAGCTGATGAAGATTATTTGTGTAATTTAAATGGATTCCTGTCAAATAAGGTTCCACTAAAATAGGAAACAATAAATGTAAATAATTAACTCACTGAATGGCCAAATTGTTGATTCAAGATGGCGAAACTCCACCGGGCACCGAAGAACGAGTGTTCACACGCTGGCTGGTCGACCTCCTGGAGGACACCTCAGCTAAGAACAAGAACAACATGAACAGGATGAACAACGTGAACATGGTGAACATCACGCCAAATATGTACAGTATGTTACGAGATGTTCGCGCGTTGGATTGTTTGGTGTCGAAGTTATCCGGTACAGATATCGTTAGTTTGCTTTTTAAGTTTTATATTTTCGAAACATTATTTCAATTAAATTTATTGTTTTTTTTACTTACGCGGTAAATAATATGAAAAATGAAAAAAATATGAAAAAATTATTAAATAAAAATACAACTGATTCAAAATGTACAATAATAATAATGTGCACACTGTGATATATATATATATATATATATATATAATGAGTTATTTAAATTTGTTAACATGCAGACAAAATGAATCATTAGTTTTTATACGTACCCAGTCTAATACTAAATCATTATACTTCAATAATGATTCTCGTATAAAATTTTTCATCATAAATATTATTTTTTGCTTTTTTAACGTAAAAAAATGCAAAAACTCGCAAAAATTAAAAAACAACAAATATAATGAACTAAAAAAAACAAGGTTAATCTTGAGACATTTTCTGTAACACCAAAACAAATACTTGAAATTGTTACGAAACTCTTGTTTGGTGCTATTGAGAATGTTAACTCCATGCCATTTTTACGAAACGTGAAATATTTTTTATTTATATTAATGTTCACCATTATAATGAACTGTGTTTTTATTTTCAAATTTTGTGTACTTCTGCTGCTACATTTATTTATCAACGAGCGTTTTCTTCAAAGCTGTCAGTTGTACGTATCGTATTTGTGGCTTTCATCTGAGAATTTATTAGAAAGAGAATTGATATAACTAAATGGAAACACACCGTATTATATTAAAAAAATTAAATAAAATTACGACATATTACGTCACACCAAACCATACCACACTAAACCATACCAAACTGCAACAAAATACACTAAACCACACTACTCTAAACCATACCACACCGCAACAAACCACACATCACCATACTGCATCACATCACATTTCATCACATCACATTACATTTAATCACGCGATTAAATTTCTTTTTTCTCAAGCGCCTGTTTGTTTCATTTTAAGGATAAAAGTGATAAGAATTTAAAATAAAAACAATTTATCGGCTTCAAATAAAGAAATTGATAACTTTATCTAAACTTATGCTTGCATACCTCTGTTTGTTGATACGTTTAACAAATATAGAAAAACATTTTTGCTATATATACCTATACTATACCACACACACACACACACACACACACACACACACACACACACACACACACACACACACACACACACACATACACACACACATACATACACACGTGAGCAAATTTAGAAACACGCAGGCACACGCATGTACCCACTTGTACACACACACATGAACACACTCTGTTATATTCACCCACACTAATTCACATACATACACATATAGACACGCACACATAAACACACAAACAAACAAGCAAATTACTCGGGTATGCGCAGAACACAATAAAGAGTTAGAACAGAACTTATAAGATTAGATAAGTCGAATGCATTCATTCACGTAACTAACTACCTTTAAATACCTAAGCCGACTTTTCTTGCAATTTCGACGTTTTATTTTTTCAGTAATCGCAATCAATCAATTTTATCAATCAATTTAGTTATTAATTAATTAACTACTCATAGTAATGATAATTGATATATTCATCCAATTAATTGCCTTTAACCTTTTTATTCATTTGGTAAGTTTTACGTATTTTCACTCAAAATTAAGAGCAGAGAAGATGAACGTTTAACGGTTGTAAAACAAAGAAATGAACTTGACAGATGATAAAAACAAACGTAAAAGTTATCGTGAAAAGCCTAGATTCTAAAAAAATTACTGTTACGAATTTAATTATTCTTTAGTTAAAATCTCAAATTCCGTTTTCAAATAAAGCGTTCAAGATTAGAAAATTGTAATTAATAAAAATTGATAGAGGCAAAAGTTGTTTCGAACTTCTGCCGTCAAGAAAAAAAAAACATGATATGATCGCATCTGGCGAAACGTAATACACATACACGACCTACAACCATCAAAAACATCCAAATTAGCAGGAATCAGTGGAAATAATTTATAAAAAGTACTAATCAACAACTGCGAAACATCAAGTAACTATAATATAGCGAAGATGACGACGACGAAATTGAAATAAAAATAATGTGATAATGATAATTGTATAAAAAACACTAATGATAAATGTAATGGTGATAGTGTAATGGTTAAAAGCTTCTGCCTAGTTCTGCTTTGCAGGGGTCTAGTTCGAAAGCAAAAAGATCTCTGCCTAACGCATAAACTGTGTGAGCATGGTAGGTAGTTTTTACGTACGCTCTGTGTTTGTTTGAAAAAAGTTTAAGTAAGATGATGAGATTTGCTTGGATGATTTTAATACAAATTATCATTTTGATTCTGTCTGAAAAAAAGTTAAGGAGCATTTATATATTGATGGTGATGTTAGAAAATACAATATTAGCAAAAATAACAACATGAATAAGTTTCAAAATAGAATGCGTGCGTGTGTGTGCGCGTGTGTGTGTGCGTGCGTATGTGTGTATGTGAGTGCGTGTGTGTGTGTTTTTTATCTGTTTTGTGTTTTTGTTCGGGCTCCCTTTTATGAGTGCAAACGTGTTTAACGAGTGTTCACTAGTTTTATAACTTCTCTGAGATGATTTGCAGGGATGGATGGATAGATAGATGGATAAATGGATGGATGGATAGATGGACGGACGGACGGACGAATGGATGGATGGATGGATAATAGATTGAATGTATGAATGAATGAATGCATGAATGGATGGATGATGATTATATGTATGGTTGAATGCATATGTAAATTAATGGATAGATAAATACTTTTTTCGGTTTTGAAATTTTAAACATAAATGATTAAAAGATGAAAAAAAAATCAAAAAAACAAACCTACAAATGAAAACAAAGAAACATATCACCGAATAAATTGAACTTCGAACATTCAAACAATCCTCGAACGATCTAAACAAGCAAGCAATCGCACAAGCAAACTAAACAACAAGTGATTGACAGAAACAAAATTTTTTCATTGAGAAGATAATTGAAGTAAAATAGAAAAAGAAAATAATACAAGACGCCAGACATTTGTTGAAATCACAAGAGAATTAATTATTTTATACATAAAAATTCTTATTTTCCATAGCGTAAGTAACCCCTCGGTACTTTAAGTACAAACCATGAATTTTTCAACTACATCCTATGTAATTATTAAGTACATATTTTCTACTAATCTAATTTATTTTCCCTGGTTTAAAAAATTAATTTTTTAGTTCGTTACGTATGTAAACGCCATCAAAACATACAAGTGAAAAAATAGAAAAATACCTCAATTAAAAATTATTCATTAATTATATTATAATCATTACAAAATATAAATCAACGCGAACGACTCTGAAAAGCCTACCAGACGAACGCACTTGAAGCAAACGAACGCCGCAATGAAAATGTTTGCAGGCATGGGATCGCAGATACCAGACAGACGAATTTGAAAGTACTTATAAAAATACTTCAGCAAACACAATTGGCGAAATCATTCAATAATAAAAATTACATTTGTCTGAAAATTTATTTGAATGTTTTTCAGCAAAAGACATTAGAACCAACAACGACAAAGTCATTAAAATTAGATCACAACACTCTTCGCTTTTTTCTTATACTTTAGCGCTTTTTTAAAAGCAACCATGTGATTACGTGTTATCTTTTATAACCCTTGCTTAGAAATGCTTATAACACATATTGTTGAATAATACCTACAACAATATTAACATATTTGCAAACATCTAGTAGCACTAACACACAGTCAAACCCACACACACACGCAAAAACGTTCACACTTACTAATACACATACACACGTTCCCACAATACGCACACACATACAAAACAGCATACAACAACAACAAGAAACAACAACAACAGCAACAACAACAGTACTTACATACTCACAAACACATTCAGAAGACTTTGAAGAGAAACGCAAATAGTGAAGATTCCGTGGAAAGCACAATTTCCTTACTATCAGACAGATATGAGGTTAGTTGCTATGTGCAGTGCGAGCATGCAAGCATTTTATTGAAGAGTAAATACTTTTTGTGCGATTATTTACTGTTATTTTGTCTTTGCAATGCTTTGGTGTTGGTTTGAAGTTTGAAAGAAATTTCTTGAACAAATAAAAAAAATTTATTTTTATTTTTGAGTTTAGTTTAGAATTTTTTTATCATTAGTTTTTAAAGCTGAAATTGTGGATAATTGTTGATAATGTTACATGAATGCTTATTGGGTTAAATGTTGATAATTGCAATTATGCAATTATCAACATTTTCAACAGTCATTTTCGTTTCGTAAAATTTAAATATTGGATGTTGTTAAATGATAGTTGACGAATTAAACCAAACATTTACATATTTGAAATTAATTCTTTCGCAAATAATAGTTATTAAAATGAACAAAACCAAAACATTGTGAAAAGTTTTTAAACTTTAAATAACAAGTTATTCAAAAGAATTTTGCAATTTGAAAATAGATAAAACTGCAAATCAGTGATTATAAATCATCTCCGAAGGAGTTCCTACATGAGTTATTGTGGTCTTTACTCTACAGGTTCCTGGTTAGTTTGATATATTTTATCTTTCTGTTTTTTTGTATTTGATGAAAATATTTGTATGTATTATGTTTTGTATTGAAATTTTGTGTATTTTTGTATTGTATTGTATTTATTTACTTGTTATTATTTATTTATTGTATTGTTGTGTACTTCATTGTTATCATTACTGTTGTATTGAAATCGTAACAACGGCCCCTACGGTCAAAACTAAATGCTTTTGAAAACTGTTCACACGCATCTTTTCACAAGTTTTGCTAGCTTTTACATGTTCATAATTTGTGTGTTCATAACTTGGTTCGCACATAATTAACAACAGGATGATAACATCTATAATAATAAAAAAATAATGTCAAATAAATGATTTTTTAATATTTCAACCGATTAATTAATTTTTTTATTTTCAAATTAAATGGTTTTATTTATGTGCAACCAACATGCCAGATAAGTCCGTGTGCCTTCACTCTGAAGGAGTATTCCTTGTTTGATCATCCCGAACTTGCTTTGTTGCAGTGGAGTAGGAATGTAACGTTTGGGTAGGTCGTTCACTCATTCGTTCGTTCGTTTGTTCATGCATTCATTTGTTCATTCATTCATTCATTCGTTCGTTCGTTCGTTCATTCATTCACTCATTAGCCCATTCATTCACTCGCGCGGAGCACTTATTTATCCCTAATCTATTTATATATTTTTGTATTCAATTGAAGTTGAGTAATAATTGTTTTTTTTTGTGGGTTTTAAAATAAATTTTCATCCAATCTAGAAAATTCTCTAAAGAATGAAAAAAAAGAAAAAAAAACGAAAAAACCTAGTTAGGTGTTATCGTTAAGAAATGAACAAAACAAATGCCGCCAAGCAATTTAAAACATGAACCACGTATGCACACACACTCACACACACACATTCTCACACACACATCATTACACACACACATCAATACACACACACCAATGCATGCACATACACACACATCATACACACACATTATACACACACACATACATACACACACACATACATACTTACACACACACATATACATACATACATACATACATGCATAAACAAACATACAAACACAACAATTTTTGTACAAACAACATTAAAACATTTTCAAACAAAATACAATAGTACCAAGACAATTTAAATAAACAAGATTGTATTCAACAGAAGAATAAATTTTGATCCTTCTTCGAGTACTTTGGTTTCTAGTACAAATACTTAAAAATTACTGTATTTGTAAGGAAAATACACAAAGTATCACAAATATTTGTAATAAATACGCATGATGATGATGATTAGCCATTTAGTCGAAGTCGACTTTCGGCCACTTTATGGATCTGTCTACTGATAATAGTGAGGTAGTTTGCTATTTCTTTCCTCACCCCTCTCCATTTATCCGGGCTTGGGACCGGCATGTAGTTGTTGCCAACTACAAGGCTGGGTTAATACGCACATGTATCAATAAAATCTTTAATTCATATGCGTTAATAGATACAATAATGCTTAACTACAATACAAACTTCATTGCATTGTACATACCTCAAAAAATATTGGAAAATTTCCGCTACCAATAATCAAATGGCAAAAAGTTTTTTACCAGTAAAATACACGAAATACACCAAAAACATTGAATAAATACCTATAGGTATCAATACAAACATCTTTTACAAACTACAAATACAAAAAAAATACAAACTCATACCTGAACAGGTATAAGAAAGTTGATGTTACAAATTTCTCGTCTTGCTGGAGAAGCGGACTAGCGTTCAACGCGTTAATTCATAGATACAAGTGAGTGGTGGCCATTTTAGCGGTCATCATCATCATCCATCATTATTGCCATCATCGTCATTATCACTATCATCATCGTCATTGTTATCATTATCACCATTATTCATCATTATCATCATCACTATCACCGTCATCACCATCCAAGTCGCCAACTTGTTATCAACTTTTCTCATCACCATTTTATACTTACGCCATTATCGTTATTAGAAAAATTCTCATCACAGTTTCATCATCGCCGACATCGTTACAGATAATCTCATCATAACCATCATATCATCATCAGCATCGTCGTCACAGTTATCAATGATATCACTATTACCAGTTCTCATCACCATCATTATCATTATTATCATCATCATTATTATCATCATCATCACCATCGTTATCACCATCATTATCACCATCATCATCATTATCGCCATCTCGTCATCATCATCAGTCCTAACTGGTTCAATTATTCGAAACTTCTGGAAAAAAGTAGCAAGTGGAATCTGGAGCACGCATTCAGCCTGGCTCACGAACGGCTTTCCATTCCAAGAATATTGACACCAGCAGGTTCGTTCCCGCCATATTTTGAATTTTATCGTTATTTTGTGGGCTATAATTCTTATTTAAGGTTAAAGGTTAAAGGTTAAACCGCCCGTTACTTGTATATTTATAAACATTATTGTTTGGTGCTTTCATCGTAAATAAAAAAGATGAACTTTTTAAGTCTTCAAAATTTTAATTGCAGTTGAAGGTTTTTTCATCCTCATTTTATTATTATTATTATTATTACTACTGCTACTACTATCATCATAATTATTATTATCTACTATTATTATTGTTAATATTGTTGTTATTATTATCATCATTGCTGTTATTGTTACTGTTATTATTATTACTTCATACGCCTGTTAATATAATTATTTTTGTTATTGTTGTTGTTGTTACAAGGATTTTTATTATTCCAGTTCGTACATTCATTTGTGCATATTTTTTTACGCGCCGAACCATATCTTGGATAACGAGCGGTTTTGAATAAATACTTGTTTTGTAGTTTTTCGTTATCTCCAAGTTAAGTTTTTTTTCTCATACTCCGATATTTTTTTTTTGGTATTTTTAATGTTATCAATAATTCGTAACAACATAAACAACAACATCAACAAACAACAACAACATGGACAACATCAATAACAACAACAACAATAGCAACAACATGAACAACAACAACAACAAAATAGACAAAAACAACAACAATAACAACAACATGGACAACAACAACATGAACATAAACAGATGTTGATGTTGACGAACCAGATTGTAGGTGTGTCATCCTTTACGTCACACTTCTCGCCAGGTGTCGCCCCGCCACACTGCTGCCCGCCACCAATCAGCCACAATCGAAAAACGATGTAATTGTGAAAGTTATTTAGAATTAATAAGAAGCAACCATATAACTGCTACTACTACTACTACTACTACTACTACTACTACTACTACTACTACTACTACTACTATTACCACTACTACTACTACTACTACTACTACTACTACTACTACTACTACTACTACTACTACTACTACTACTACTAACTCAACTGCAATTACTACTGCTGCTACTGTCGCTACTATTAACCTTAGTGTTTCCTCCACTGTTACTACAGCCACTACTATGTTTTTGCTATAATTTGAGTTACGACGTAATAATTACATGGGAGACAATTCATTAATGACTACCATACAGTTTATGATATGCAATCATTTTTGATTTATTAAAAAACTCCATTAGAGAAGTTTATAAATCAACTTTGCAGGCTGTTAAAAGATTATCGCCGGAAGCATTACAGTCACCAGCATTGAAAATGACGTCATCATCAACAACGCCAGCAACAACAACAACAACAACAACAAACATCATTTACAAAAACAAAATGGCTGACAACAAACCACCAGCAGCGACAGCCACAGCGACTCAGCCGTTGCCCGCAAGCGGCGATGTTACAACAATATACCGACATATAACCGACTCGACGTCAACCGATGTCACGAAATTTTTTCTGTCTTCTCAAGAATTGAACCAAAATTTGAAGGAAGATGAAGATATATTGGATAAATTAGAGATGCAGGGACTCGCTAATTTTAGTGGGCACGAGAATGGGGAAGACTTAATGCCCAAAGATTTGCCTAAATTGAAAGATTGTTTCAATAAACATGAAGTAATTTTTTATTAGCTACGGTATCTATTTTGCAGTAGTAGTAACAAACAATTTAAAAAAATTTTTTTTTAACTACTATATAATGTGTATGATATATACAGTGGCGGATTTAGACCACTTTGACTTTTTATTAACACAATTACGGCTACAAATTGATCACTTCTACTATTACTACATCACAGCTACTATTGATAAGTTGACGCTTCATATCTGATACTACAGCAGTTGTGACTTTCATTACTACTACAAAATATTTAAAATAAAAACTTTAAGATCAATGATATCTTTAATAAGCCTCGCATTCTCGTCTAAAAAACTACATTGATTAAATTATGCTTGCGCTATGAACACTTGAAATAACATAATATTCTGCGAAAAACAAACTTTTTTTATAAGTTTTTAAACGAAAAATTAAAAATTATTTTATAAAAATTTGTTACCAGGACTTGATGGCTCGACTGACAGAGAGGCAGAGTTCGATCGGGGAAGCACTTCATCACGGGAACAGACTTATGAAGAGTAACTTGCTGGAGGAGAGGAAGAAGCAGCAGATTGAGAGAGAGATGATGACTTTGAATGAGGCGTGGGAAAGATTGAGAGTGAGAGTAACAAGCAGGCAAATCAGGTTTGTACTTGAGGTATTTTGACGAACCAAATTTTTATTCACACGTTTTAATGCATGTTACTACAAATTATTTTTAATACGTAACACATTTTATTTTTAATATTAATGTCAATTATTTCATTCACTAATTTGCAAAAATACTTATTTTGAAATGCCTCTTTTCCAAATTTTCATTAAATTCGCTTAAACGTACTACCAGCCTGCAGAAATCGCTAATGGCAAGCCAGAAAGAAGTCATGAATGAATTCTCAAAGCATCTGACGGCTTTAGAAGACGACATCAGAACTTACGACAGTTGCTTCAAATGCTTCAGTAGATCGTTAAGAGAGCAAGAAACGAAGCTGCAAGTAAGTTAAGTTGATTTAAAAAGGAAATAGATAATTGTTTTGTAGTTGAATTACCAATAAAAATGCAAAAATTGATTAAATTGTTAGTTTTTAATTCTTAAAATAAATTAGAATTTAATGAAAATCTTAAGTGTCATGCATCTCTGTCGAAAGATTGTAGCCGCGTTTATTCCAGATTATTGAAAACGTTCTAAACGCACTACTGTTGCAAAAATTGAAGTATCAACCAGATTTTTGTTAACTCAACTACTCGATGGCAGGTCATGGGGGGGCGGATGGGTGACCTGCAGTCGGAGGTGACCAACCTGCAGTCAACGGTTCTCATCGTCGACGATGCTGGCTCCTACTCGGGTTGGACCACTCAACAAATTATTTTTGCTTATTTTACATGAAGAATTTTCAGTATTTTAACGGTTAAGTAGCTCACTTTAAAAATGTTCTACTTTTTTATCTATATACTATTTGAAAAAATTGTTTGATACAATGTCATTTCAGCATAAGCGAGCTTTCAAGAACATTAAGTTAAAACAAAAATTCATTTTAGCGATGTGATTTTAGCGTTATTTAAAAAAAAACATTTGGCTTGATATGCAATATTAAATAAATATAAAAATAACTACTGATTTTTTTAACAAGCTATGGAAAGTCAGTTAGAAGATCTTGGAAAAAGATGGATGTTCGCGTGTAGGTGGATGGAAGGCAAGGAGCACAAACTAGGCAGATACAAATTAAAGTTGGAAAAGTTTAATAATAAGCTGAATCAATTTTTGACCTGGTTGCATGAAGTTAGCTCGATGTTGGACAACGTGCAGAACTTCAATCAAGAAGGTTCCTTGGATGGGACCGTTCAACAAGTTCGGTGCATCAAGGTGAGATTGATGTTTGATCGGCACAGCTACGCCGAACTCAGTTGCATTTTAAAGTTTTTGTTGTATAATCTAACAATCAGATGATCGAAAACGACATGGATGACATGATGCTGAAGTTTGAACATCTGAACCAGATTGGATCAGAGCTTGTGGCATCTGATCCAATCAATGAAAATGATGATGACGTGAAGGAAGATGATGACGATGATGATGGTGGTGACACTGTTGACGACCATGATGAGAATCATTCGAATCACCATCGTTATCAGCTCACCGCCCGTTATGTTAATAGCACGTTACAATCATGCCAGGAAAGGTCAACATTTAACATTCTTTACTCTTTTCGCATGTTTTTGTTGTTATGTTACTGCTTACATTGTTTCTTACTGGTTTAGTTGCCCAACGGTTGTAACGTTCCCAGCACATGACATATATGTAGTTTTAGGTACGCACTATAATCGTATCGATGTGCATGATGTTTGTTGAATTTTGAACTGACGGCATTTGAACCAGGTAAGCCGCACTAACCACAACACTGTGAAACATGGCACTTCTACCATCTGATTTGCCTTTCTATCTGAAGTTAACGCATTCAATTTATAATTAACCACTACAACCAAGTATTTGAATAAATGTGTATACAAGTTTAAGAAACGCTCGAGTTTTATATTTTGTACTGCTGGCGAGGAAAGCCATTCAGTGTAACAAAAAAACATTTGTCTAAAAAAACAATAATTTTTATTCATAATTACTAAATTATCGAAACAAATCTCTTTGAAACGATAGCTGGGATGAACTGGTGAGCAAGATGGAGGAGATGAGCAGTCGGCTAGCTCGGTCAGGAGTCCAGATATCAATCACAATGACAACTGATGACGACCCTGATTACGTGACTGTTGATGTGTCACGTGATTCTGATTCTGATTCTGATGATGATGATGATGATGATGATACTTGTTATGATGAGAATAATGACGAGGCTATCACACACTATCATCGAAACTATAATAATTATTATGTCAAAAAGTATGGTGACGGGGTTACAAATAGTGAAAGTAATGCGCAGAACGACGACAAATCAGTCAAAAATTGTTTCAAAAGTACAAATTTTGCAAGTCAATCCGACCAAAACACATCACGTGGCTTTGTCACCAAGACGACGACAGCCTACAACGATAATAAAGAAAGCACTAGAAATGACATTGATGACTCGAACAACAGCAACAACATCATGGCCACACATCATCTCAATCAATTTAAAAAACTCGGCAGAGTTGATGGCATCAAAAGTCAAGTCAAGGACGACAATAACGATGGTGGCAATGGTGGCATCAACTCTGGCGACATTAGTCGCCGCGATCAGCACTACTCTTGGACAAAAGTGAAAAAGTCATCATCATCATCATTATCACCGTCACCCCATCATCATCGTCGTCGTCACCAAGTCGCTGACAGCAATTACGTCACTAACGTTAAAAACATCAACAGTGATAATGCAATAAATGACAACAATAACAGTAGCAATAATAATAATAATGATAATAATGAAAATAATAATTATGTACAGCAGACGGTGAAAGTTTCGACTGCAGGGCACGGCTGCGCAACGTTTTCGCTGATTAAAAAACAAAAAAATAAATCTATGAATAGCATAAAAAATAAAAACAATAATGATAATAACAACAACAATAATACTAATAACAACAACAACAATAATAATTACAATAATAATAGTTACAATAAAACTCTCCTTACCAATATCAGCAAAATTGAAAATATAAACTGCCATACAAAAGATAAGAATAATAAAAATTTTCACAACAATCACAACAATAACAACAGCAGCAACAACAATAACAACAGTAACAACAACAACTTGAGTAACGAAAACAACGACAATAAAACAACAAAACATACAAAAACAGCCAGCCATAGGTACAGATGCAACGTTGTTTCTCGAAATGTGAAACGCGAGGACGAGTTTGGAAGTGAAGGTGACGACAAAGATGACGACTCTTACAAAGACTCAAAAAAAATGCTTACCGCAAAATCAAAAAAAGTCATTAAATCGACCCAAAATGATGAGATCATACAGCGTTTAAAAGTGGACTTCGATCGCCAATTATCGAAATTCAACGATTGGTTGGACAAAGCAGAAGTGACCCAGGAAATGGTTGCTATGGAAACGGCGTCGTTGACGTCATCCTCGTCGTCGAAGTCCTCGCTGACGAAGGAAGTCTTCTCTACGGATGAGTTGGCCGTCTTGTTGGAGGTGAATTGTTTTGTGGCGATCGATTGTTTGTAATGAAGTTTTAATAATTTGTCAATTTGTTAATTTATAACAGCGGTGCAATACTTGAAAGAATGAATGTGTTT